GTGGCCACCAGTGAAAAGAGGCCGGCCCCATCCTCCTCACTGCCTCCCTTGAGGTACTTCTAGACACTGCTCAGGTCCCCTCTCAGCCTTCTCTTCTCCAGCTGAACAGGCCCAGCTCCCTCAGCCTCTCCTCATAGGGCAGATGTTCCAGGCCCCTGATCATCCTTGTGGCCCTGCGCTGGACTCTCTCCAGCAGCTCCACATCCCTCTTATACTGTGGAGCCCAAAAAAAGGGCCCATGGGACCTTCCCCAGCGGGCCCAGACGCCGGCGCTACCTGTAGGGCCGCTGGAGGCCCGGCACGGCGGCGATGCAGAGGATCCTGGCGGAGCAGACGGCGATGCAGGCCTCCACGGTGGGCTCCTTGCGGATGCTCAGCAGACACACCTGACCCACGTAGCCGTCGCTGTTGCACACCCACACCTCGCACGCGCTCTCCGGGCCGCCGCCGCTCGGGGACGCGCAGGAGAACTGCAGCGGACGGCGCGGGTGTCACCTCCTCCGCGGGAAGGGCTCCCAAGGGTCGGGGAAGGGCTGCGTGTCCCCGGGATGCTCCTCGCGCGTGGGGCCGAGTACCTGCATCCCGCTCCGCGTCTTCATGATGGGGATGGCCTTGAGGAACTCGGGGTCCAGGCAGTTCTTGGTGGATGCTGCGAGGAGAAAACAAGAGCTGCGGATGGGGTGTGGAGGAGGCTTTGGAGAAGAGCCACCCGCGGGCTCCTCGGTGCCTCAGGAGAGCGGCGGGCGCCCATCCTCACCCAGCTTCTTCTTGGCGTCCTCGAAGGCCTGCTCGAAGCTCTGCCGGGCGTCGGGGTTGGGGAACTCGAAGATGAAGGACTCGGTGCCATCAGCCTTGGTGGTGGCGAGCTCCACTTTGTTGGGTGGGAAGGACATGCTGAAGGACAGCGACTGCTTCTCGGCCAGCTCCCGGTGGATGGCGGCCATCAGGTCCTTGATGACGTCGTCCAGGCTCTGCATGAGGGGACACAGCCGAGGTGGGAGGATGGAGGAGATGAGTCCACCCTTGTGGTGTTGCCCACATCCCTCTCCATGGATATCTCTGGAGGTGATGCCAAGAATCCTTTTGGGGCTGACCAAAACCCCGCCTGACTCCAGAGCTGGTGGCATTGAGGTCTCTCAGAGCTGGTGGCACTGGAGTCCTCCAGAGCTGGTGGCATTGGGTCCTCCAAAGACAGCCACAATCAACAGTCCATGCCCAGATGAAAACCCATCTTGTTCAGGGCTTTCCAAGCAGACAGGATCAGCTAAACCATTTTGTTCCAAGATGGGGCCAGGAGAGAGGCTGCCCCAATCCTGCTGCCTTCTCCATCCCACCGAGAGCCCCTGGGGCAGCTGGCATTTCCCCATGGTGGCAACCAAATCCCAGTCCCAAAGCACTTAAAGAAGGTAGGTTTCCTGGACCAGAAAAGCCCCCTCCAAAAGAAGCAGGGAATGGCGGCACTTAAGATAGAAGGATCTTTTGCTCCCTGGTCCTGGATAAAATGCATGGACACCATCTGTCCAACCTGGTCAGAGGGGTCAGCCAGGGCACAGAGGGGTCCCAGTGAAGCTGGATGAACGGATGGGGTCCACGTCACCTCTGGATGTGCTGGAGAAGATGCCTGGTGCTCTCACCTGGTGCGGGAAGCTGAGGCTCTCGGCGAGCTTGCTCACTTGGCCCAGCGTGCTGAGGTCCTCGTCCAGGCGGCAGATGCTCTTCTGGACGCTCTCACGGTTGGTGGCTTGTGAGGCACCTGCGTGGCGAGATGAAGTCCCCGGGATGCTCCCGCCACCCAAACGGGGCAGTGAGTGCCGGAGTCTGGGGATGGCCACAGACCTTTGATGATGTCCACATCCTCCAGGGGCAGCTTCCAGAGCAGCTTGTACTTGCTGGCCGTGTCTATCACGCTGGCTGCCGTGTACCTGCGGTTGAGGAGCTGTTGAGCACCAACGGGCCACCCATGGCTCATGATTGATCCCTGTTGGATCTCTTGGAGGAAGGACGTGCTGGGACAGCCCAAAGGGGTGGCCGCGTGGCCGGTGACACTCACAGGCTCATGGAGCTGCGGCGCAGGGAGCCCGACTTGCGCTTCAACGTGGTGCACACCAGGAGGTCCGAGAAGAGGAAGAAGGAGCGGTCCTTCTTGCCGCCCACCGCCTTCTGCAGAGCAGCGGTGAGAAATGGAGCGGGGTTAGGGGCTACACAACATCCCCTGCCTCAGTTTCCCCAGCTCTGGAGCAGCTGAAGATCATGAGCTGCATTAGGACTCATCCAGGCGGGATGGGAATGAAGCACTTTGGACACAGAAAGGATGGAGAAGGTGGTGATAAATCGCTGCTCATCGTCAGTGCTACCTCTGTGGTCATGTGGGCCACCTTGCCCATTCATCTGCCCAGGCACACATCCATCCATTGTCCACCTTCATCCACCATCCATCTTCCACCATCATTCATCATCATCCATCTTCCACCACCATCCCTCCAGACACCTGCCCTTCCACCCATGGGGACCTCGCAGGCCACAGTCACAGCCACCCATTCCCTGGTGGCCAACTCTCTCTGTCACGAAGCAGCCAGGGGACAAGGGGCGAGGAGCAACCCCAAGGAACTGGTCCATCCCCTCTTACCACTTCCACCACCATCTCCTGCCGCAGGAACCTCCGGAGCGGGGCCTGGAGCTGTGGGGACAACGATGCTCGTGAGATGCACGTGACCTTGCTCAGAGGCTCATCAGCCTCCTTGTTACAAGCCCTTCCATGGTCCACGTACATCCTCCATGCCCTCGATGTGCGACTCGATCTCCTGCACAATCCGGGCGTTCCTCTCCACCTCCTCGGCGCTCTTCATGCCCTTGTTTATTCTCTCGGCCACCTGCTTGATGTTGCGTTGGGCGTCGATGAGGAAGGGGTGGTCGGGGTGGTCCTCTGGCGTGTGCTTCAATAGGTCCTGCCATGGGGGAGAGAGTTGGGTGCCATCCCCACAGGCCATGATCCGGGACCGGTACCTGAGAGGCTGGTGCATTTTGCTCTGTTGCATTTTGGAAACAAACTCCCAAATTCCCAATTTGGAGGGAAATCGGGCAAATCTTGGAGCTCACGGCCCGCTCATCCCCGCGTCCCACCCACTTCAGCCACGTCTCCTCCCCAGGCACAGGGAAACTGAGGCACAGGGGAACATTGGGCTGGATCTGGGGCATGGATGCAAACTTACGGATGCACTGCAGGTGCTGGATGGTTCTTCGGGAGCCTTCTCAAGGGCAGGGAGACTCCCGAAACCCAATGGTTTCCTCAGAAGAGGAAAACCCAGGGCGGGTGGCCAGCAGAAGAGAGCCCAACGCAACGTGGTTGTGTGGCCGGCCAACCTTGTACACGATCCGAGTTGGACCGGTCTCACCTGTGGCCGTTCCTCTGCCTACCTTCACCAGCAGCTCGTAGCGTGGGATCCTCTGCACGGGCTTGATCATCAGGTCGGACAGGGCCTGTTTCTCCTTGTTCTCCCTCATGCTTTGCTGCGAAACATCGGCAAGAGAGAAGGACGGGCCCCTTAGGTGGGATGGGACAGGGATCCGGCTCACCCGGCTCCAACTCATCCAGGAGCTGCGGCAATTCCTGTCCATGTCCAGCATCTTGGTGACTCTGGGTCATCCCAGAAGTTCAAATTCCAACTGCTGGGGGCGCATCCAAGGACCCACCTCCAGGAACTTCATGAAGGCCGGCCGGGCTTCCTTGGCGATCCTCACGGCGTCCTTGGCGTTGAGGAAGTTATCGATGTAGGCCGAGTAGATGTTCACCAGGACGTCCTTGGAGAACTGCGGGGCGCGCGGGCAGTGAGAGGCGGCCG